TCGGCAGATTATGAATATCATGGTTCCTATTGGGGACGAATATGGCTGGTTGAGATTATCCCTCGGTTAAATTGGCTGGAAAAGTATGTCTTCGTATAATGTATGAAGCGTCCTCTCGTTCGCCGTCTTTCCTCTGACGCCAATGCTTTTCCCGCCACCACTTTGTTATCATAACAGAATTTTATCGCTGATATTCTGTTTGATACTTATTGTCATAGCGGATTTTATCATTTTATTCTAATAATAGCAAGCACAGACAACGGCCAAGGTGCACGCAAGGGACCGGTTGACTCTATATAGAGGAGTTAAGCATTTTCACGTCGTAGGATCCGCATTACCGAACTTCGCCGCATAGCGAGAACGCTAACCACTGGAAAGAACGAATGAATGCATGTGTGTATACACGAACAAATGAATGAAAGAATGAACTAACGAATGAATGAAGCACCAGCGCGATTTGAATGAAATACAGAATTTAAATTAAAAATTTGAAACCCGATCGTAATGTAAAACCGTTATTATCATTGAATCCTCCTTTATGATTATGAGTAATATTTTGGAAGCTACAGAATGCTCAAAGCTGGTACATCGAAAATGACCCAAGATTCGGACCTCAGAAGCCGACATTAAACGCCGTGTTCAGAATTATGCGTAGATGTATGATTTGCCGGTAGATGTTAAGAAAGAGGAGGAATTATATATCGCGAACTCAGTTTTGCAAAAATATGCGCTGCAATCATAAGAGCGATTACTAAGTTAACATTGCTCAGAATGATTATTTGGTATAATTAAAGAGAATCAGAAATTTCACTCTCTGCATTATTTTTCAACCACTGATACCGGATTCACAAAGCGAAAGCTGTAAAGCCAAATGATTTACTTTACAGCAATACTGCAGCAGCGTAAGACAAATGCTGGCCCATGCATTAGGTTGTACCGCAACATTTCACTGCCCCTTATTTCTAATTGCCTGGGGGGGGCATTTAAATATGCCACGGCTCGATGGTATTTAAGCGCCTGCCGTATGCACTAAATCACCGTGTTGGGCTGAACAAGATCACATTCAAGTACCAATAAATTTGCCACTATTCGTTGGCAAATATGTAGAAATAATGCACCACCCTTATGGCATGGAGCAATAGTCATCAAGAATGGCAACATTCTGATTTTGCCGCTGGCAAATATTAGTTTTGGCTACTGACACCCGATATGCACGGCGTATAGTGTAAAGCTAAGTGCTAGACTTTCCAGTGATTTGCTATCAGACGGATGACGGTCTTTAGACTGGGTTGCGTTGCAAGATTTCATAATCTGTTCATAGGGAAGACTGCAAGATTCATTAATATGCGCCACATTAGCCGGTTTTTTGCCATTTCGTGCCGTCGATGGTATAAGTTTGAGGCTATTAATCGATGTTCTTCCTCACTTCGAGCGTTCCCCCGGTTTTGAATCTTTTATCATCCCTCGGTGAGGCGTTGAAGCACAATTTTCTCGAAGCCGGTGTCATACTTTGTCATCAAACGATCAAGGGCTGATCTTGCTGATCCTGTGTGTTGTTCTTTGAGAGCGATCCGTGTGAAACTGCAAAATGCCCTAGTCATACGTTTGCAGGGTCTCAGAGGTGATTCGTAGCAGTTCATCTTAACATTACTTCGATGAGTATATGCTATGCTCCATGACGATTGAAGATTCTTATAAATTGCTGGCAACCAACCAGATTAGTGACTTTGCAAATCTTGGCATTGTAAAGGTTATGACGTTTGTGATTGCGTTCGATGGAAAAATGACTGTCGTACGAAATCTCTCTTGCAGACTAGCAAAATCCTTTAGAATGCAATGCGAAATTTTCCTTTCGTAATGATGAAGATTAAAAGACGTTCGTCCGGATCAGAAATCCCTTGTCACATTGCAAATAGTGACTTTTATCACAAAATTGTTCTTTCGGAGCATCCAAACATAAAGCGATCGTGTAGAGAGTACGAAACTGCGACTTGCTACCAATATAGGCATCTCCTTCATCGATACAATAAACCACCTAATAATAAAATGCAATATGTTAATGCTACCGTCTAAAGTGGTGATCCGCCCACACCTGATGAGACTGAAATTGACTCATAATGCAATCCATATTACTATAGTCTGAAACTGATTTGCGGTTCAGTCCAACCGGTAATACCCGTTGTTATATATATATACTATATCTAAGCCTCAGTATTATTACCTGCATGTTGTTTAGATGCAGGTTGAGGCATATGGAGTAATCCTGTAAAAGTTGCAGATTACTAATCTGAGCAAAAAAATTTTATTTCAGTCGATATAGATATTGTTTATTCCATGTTTGTATGGATGGATTACCACTCTGGATGATAGTATTAACATGAGTAAATATTAGGAATCTTGTACATATTGTCGTTTTGCAAGACGGTTAGAGAGTGGGATGACAAAATGAACCGAAGTATAAAGGATCTGCTAACATGAGTATTATACATCAAACGCAACATGCAAAATTATAAACTATCGCAAATCCATTTATTCATTCAAGCTGATTGTCTGAGCTTTGAACAAGTCCCCCTAGCAAATTATATACCGCAATTTGATCTTACCGAGTGTGAAACTGTTCTTCGAGTTGCTCCGTTCGATCAGAGTCTTTGGAAACGTCGGGTTGGTCATTGTTGTCTTTTTTGCCAACGACACATCCGCTGTCACTCGGGTAATGATTATTCTAAAAAACAATGATATAACCTTTGGTTCAGTTCATAATCTATAATATAAGTCGTGATAATTAATTAAGATCAACAACTTGAATGCAAACAAAAATTCAGTAATACAAAGAAATATGAGCATTCGTTGAAAAAAAGAAACCGAATTTGGATCAAGAGCAGATACAGGACCAAAGAGGTCAGTGAAGCATTAAGAAGAACGTTCACAGTTCTGTTAATACCTTACCCCTTCACTACTGCGAATGAAAGTCTACAAGCGTACTAGCCTTTGACCTTGAAGTGTAGGAAATGTAATTACAACCACCTTACTGTCTTTTTTGTTACTGTTCTTACTGTTAACGTCAGTTTATTTAATTAACATTCGACATATTAACGTTCAGTGGATACTTACCTTTGGTTTTATTGTCCACGTATTGCCATTCATAATCTCAGTGAATTTTTGTTCAACGAATTAACACAACTACTGATAGCATATTTTCATTTTTTCTGAAACAACTGATGCAACTGCTCTTGCAGGTGATTGGCTACTAATTTTTCTGGGGTATGTAATGCCATAATAATCATCGGAAGGGCGTCGAGCCAGATGGTGTTCATTTCATTTTTTTCTGTCATAAGAGAGAATTCAGATTGATTGGAAGATCGTTTCTAAAAGATCTTATTTTTTATGCAACCTTACATTGAGTCAGCGCTTTGAGAAGCGGATGGTTACTGTGCACAGAGAATGCGATTTTCGAGCATGAACTTGATTCGTAGGAGATCAGATTTGTGTGGTGCAAACAGAACTCGACAGTCGTTCAAACGCTAAAGGTTTAGACATAAACTGAAGACAAATATGAAGCTCTCAAATAATATTTAGATTGTTTTTCCTGTCATGGAAGTTCTTGAGAAAGACGCCTAACGACGACAAAGTCCACAACTGAGGAACTAACTGGAGGACGGAAATACTGGAGAATGAAAATGGAATTTCCTATAAAAGAGGGATCACAGCCACCAAAGAAGGTACTAGTGAAAAGCGCATAAAGATGGAAAATTTGGCAGTGTAAGGCCCGGATAAAGCATGGGCGTTTTGACTTGAACGGCACTGACGAAGAGCAGTGTTTTCCCGAAGTGAGTGCTTAAAAACTGAAGTGTTCTTGGTTAACGGAAGGAGTGACAGATTTGGTGGCAAACGACGAGGACGGAGGCTATGACGATGAGGCTGACTGCAGTTCAATAATGTGCTTCTGAACGACCTAGAAATTCTTGACGTTTTTATTAACCAGTGCAGTCTATGAGCATCTCGAGGCGAACAACAGTATTTGCTGAACAAGATAAAAAACTGCCGAAAGAAATCAACGGGATCAGAGGATTTCTTGCTTGTGTACAGCACCCATAACGATTGAAAATTAGAAAGACCAACCCTGACATTGCTTGTATCGACAAGCCGTTTGACCTGGTGCCACAGAGCTGGAACTTTACAACGTGAACGGCTGCCTAAGAAGATTCTTAGAGACCGCAATGAAATAGTATTGAGCAACATTAGAATGCGACAAAGTTTCCTTAGGATCGATGAGCATTAAATGAGGAATGTTTGAAGAAAATTCCTCTTCCGTGTTGTCTGGTACTAAATCCCCGCAGTCACCTTTCGAACGATACCAAGAAAAGATATATGTTACAGGTCCGTAGTGTAATACGGTACCTGTTGTACACGGACGACGTAAACGTGGGAACAAGATTTGTAAACTAAGTGCTTAATCTGATCCAACGCATAGAATCATTTTGGCAGTGTGTTACGGTCGAAATAATACTAAAATAAATGCGGGAAAACAACGGGGTAACGCTACCGACTGGAAACATAAACAGCTACAGCTTGTAAGAAGGACAACCCGACATCTGTATGTTAAAACTCGACAGTATCATAAATGAGAAAATGAAACAATCAATCAAATTAGAATATATGAATAATCTCGCCAACTGCCACCGATCGAGTTATATCGGAAGGAAAGAATTCTGTACATTAACCTGCACGCTGTACCAGTGATTGCTGTTACAGAGGCAATTGTCGAGTGGACGTAAGCGGAAACGGATAGAACTAGAAAGTACAAGAGGTGCATCGAATACGTATCGGATGGTACATCTCAGAGCTGATATGGAGTGATTGTATGTCACAGGCAGTAAAGGAGGAAGAGGGCTTTGTAGAGCGCAATGAAAGATACGTTGGAAGTAGAGACATTTCCTTAAAGCGATATCTGGCTACAACCATGAAAGATGGGGTACTGACAGGCGTGCCTGGAGGCTAACCAATTAAAGTAAACGAGACAGACCACCATGAATGTGCAGAAATCACTCGATAGAGTAGTTTGAAGAATAGCATGCTGAAGAAATTAAGCAATACAGGACTTTCAACTGGCTATTGAGGAGCAGACTCCCGAAACTGAATCTCTTCGAATTGCCGTCCAAGAACAAGCACTGAGAAAGAAGTGGTAAAAAGCGAAGATTCTGGTCTGCACAAGTAGCCAGAAGCAGAGTCAGATGAGAAGCCTTGCCACGTCGTTCCCGGCTGCGAAATGCTTACGAATGGAGAATACAAGGAAATGCACCACAACGATGTTTAATCCACTGGCTTTGGTGCAAGGGAGCCGGCTTATCAGTGGCAAGGCAATAATGAAAACATTCGCCGAAAGCAGGGAGAGACACCGAGCATGTGAACATGCTCTGTAACTTCCCAAGAAGAACGCTAAGACTCGCCTCATCGTCTATATGTCCCGCTCATAGACCAAGTGAAAAGACGGGCAAAAATCATCGATATAATATTTATGGCTGAAGGCAATGCAACATTTAAGATACTGAAATATCAAGAATTGAGGATGGTAATACGAAAGATCTGAAGATGATAAGCGGAAGTCATTCCTCATGCAATCGGTGCTCTTGGAGCAGTGAAAAGAACCCATGTACACCATTCGAAATCAATTGATGAAACAATCAAAGCAGATGAACTGCAGAAGGCGACGTTGATAAGAACAGCGAGGATTATGAGAAGTGGTCTGTAGCTCAGTAACCTTCGATAGAAGATCAGAGCTTAGGTGATGTCGATAACACCGATGTTAAATGTAATAGTGCGACTAAAGTAAAACATTAATGAAATATATGTTCTACTATTATAATGGTGGTAATAATAGTAATATAGTGTTTCAGCGGCTGCTTCTGGTTTGCATACCTTCCTTCGAAACGATGCTTCAAGAAGTCAAACACGGCTTTCTGCATCATGTCCGTTACTTCGTAGCCTTT